GATTCACACTTCCTGCTTAGAATTGCTTTTGCTATTCTGGGTCTTTTGTTTTTCCATATGAATTTCATGATTGCTTTATCTATTTCTACAAGAAATGGCGTTGGGATTTTAATTGGTATCGCATTAAACCTGTAGAGAACTTTGGGTAGTATCGCCATTTTGATGATGTTAGTTCTGCCTATCCATGAACAGAGTACATTTTTCCATCTTAAGGAAGATTCTTAATATAATAATGTCAACTATCTCCCTAACAAAATGCAACACAAAAACCCTTATAGTTTCCTTCAACTCTAGACAAAAAGTACAGAGATAACTCTACTTCAGACATGAGAATTTCTAGCTAATGCAATGAGAAAAATAAAGGGAATGCTAGAAGGAAGAAATTACTAAAAGATGATAAGATGGAGTTTTAATTAGAGTTTACCCACAATATCTGCACATCACAATACTTTGAAAAGGAGAAAAAAATACCTAACTGTATCGTAAATGACAAGAGGTCAATATCTAATAGCTGATCACATTTATAAGCAAAATTATTAACACAATAAAAGCAAAAAGGAAAGAACTGATTATTTATATTTGAAGTCTCCAACTTTGGGATTTTTTTTAAGCTTCATTTATAAAACACAGCTGAATATGCAATCTAAACATTAACCTTGTAATTCTTTTTATTTTAAAATTTTATGAATACCAAACAGAGGGGAAAAAATTTAAAAACATAAAATATTTAAATAATACTGGTTCATTTTATCCCTAAGTTGAACACATGGGTTTTGCAAATTATGTACCAGATTGCTTAAGAGTTATGCTACTGGATAACTGAACTATAACAAAAACTTTCCTGGTGAGTTTTAGATTCAGTTGACTGTTTCATAACTGAAAATTATTCCCAGGAATAGTAGTACCTCAATGTAAATTATTACTTTCACACATACAGAAATAAAAATCCAAACTGTAAGAGGTTTAAAATAAATCTAAAAGCATTTACACTTATTGCCTGTGATATTTCTGAAAAGTGATGACACTGAATAATAAAACTGAATAGAAGTCAATTTTGACTGACTTGAGAAAATCATACTTCATAAGGAAATTACTTTTCATTAGTTGTTAATAGTAGAACATTCTTATTTTAAAAAAACTGTACATACTGGTCCTTCCACAAGAGATGCAAGCACTTCATCCCACAGCTTTTGATTTTGACAGTCTTCTCTAATTAAGTGCTGCTGTTGAGGGGTGAGTTGAAAAGCCTCGACAGCTTCTGCTGAATCTGATGCTTTGAACACTTTGGAGGCACTTGGACACTCATCTATATTTATTTAAAAAAAAAAATGTCAGCAGACATTCACAGTTCTGTTTAAAACTAATAAATAGATCCAGTTAACAAAAGAGTTAATGAGTACCAGCAATATTTAGAAGGAAGATACCCACATAAAGCAGCATCTGACTTTTTAGCATTTAGGATACCATAATTGCTTCTGTTATGGCTTTGACACTATTAAAATGTACGAAAAGGTCCATCTCCCCCAAAACAACAAAAGCCCTTTTCTTTTAATTTCTTATGATTCTCTCAAGATTTCCAATATTAAAGTGTATGTTAATAGGATATATACTCTGCAATCATTACTCACCATCTGAGGTCGGTCTTTTTGTAGCTTTGTTGGCCTGCTTTTTTGACTGCCCTTTAGTCTTCTTCCCTTCTTTATCTGAAGGGTAACCTGCTGGATACTGATGGTGGTGGAGGGTGAAAAGGACAACAAAGACTTAAGCCTCACAGAGAAGGGAGACTCTAGATCCCAGTGAGAAATTTTAAGGGAGGTGGTCTATACTTCCACAAATTTTAAGAATTTACACAAAGGAGATACACAATTAAAAAAGAAAACTTCAAAGGATAGAAGAGTAGTAAAATCCCCAATCCAGTATAAAACTATGTAGCTTTTACTGCTAAAACATTCCATTTTATAATATAATGATCTTAGTTTCAGATCTAAGAAACAAAAAATCTTAAGTTATGTCTATGTAGTTTGAGAAGTTTAAGAAGAATCTAGATAAGGTAAAGTGAAGAGCAACCATAGAACACAACAGACAGTAATCAAATAGATGGTATTACAGCAAACTGTGGAGTCAATCTAAAATAGAAAATTAAGGGATAAATTTCTCATCTTCCAAAATTAGGAACGGAGGTAGATAAAGCTTTTATAAAATGTAAAACAACTAAATTATTCAATTTTCTACCACATAACAGACTTTTTTAAAAATGCTTTTATTAGTACATTATAGTTACACATAATAGTTAGGTTCATTTTGACATAATCATACATGCATGTAATTTAATTTACTCCATTTCAGTCCCTGGTGGGCCATTTCACTTTCCCTTCCCCTATTCCCCTTTTTCTACTCTACTGGTCTTCCTTTCACTAATTCTTAATTTTATTTTAAAAAATATTTTTAAATTGTATATGGGCATAATATCTTTATTTATTTTTATGTGGTGCTGAGGATCCAACCCAGTGGATCACATGCTAGGCAAGCACTCTGCCACTGAACTGCAACCCCAGCCCTGGTTTTTTATTTTTAATTGGTGCTTTATACACAAAGCCACCTAAAAGAGTTTAAAGGATAAATTCTATCTATTACCCTTATGCTTTATTGATGACCTTTTTCATGGGTTAGAGTGTTCTGAGGTGGGGCAGGTGGGACAGACTTTTGTGAGAATGCTCTTGTTTAAAGATCCATGCATTTATGGCCTAATCAATGATGTTACTCACTTACTATAGTAAATGGGCTTACATGCTTCTGCTCACAGTCTCAAATTGAACCTATCTAGAACAATGCTCTGAACACTGGGATCTAAAAAATCTTTTTTTTTTTTTTTTTGTACCAGGGATTGAACCTAGGGGCACTCATCCACTGAGCCACATCCCCAGTCCTTTTTTATTTAGAGACAAGGTTTCACTAAGTTGCTGAGGCTGGCTTTTGAGCTTGCAATTCTCCTGCCTCAGCCTCTTACACTGAGGGGATTATAGGCATGGGCACCACGCTCTGGCTTGAAAAGATCTTTTGAAAATGGATTTGTATATTTAGTTATAAAAGTAATTATTTTGGTGATTATTTAAGCAATTGGTAGATCTCATTTAAACACTCCTATGTATTTAAAAAGAACAAAAACAGAAACAGACTTGCACTAGAAGACATACACTCACCTGCATGGGTGGTCAGACACTTGCCCATAGTTCAGCCCCTACACATGCAGTGTGGGCAGAGCCAGGGGAAATGACAAAGCTGGCAGTCTCTACAGGAAGCACGACAATGGGGAATGATGGGGATAAACTCAAACCATGCTCTGATTTCAGTGTTAGGGACAAAGTCTAGGGTATACAGGCAGTGAAAGGGGAATGCATTCATACCATCCAGTATGCATACAAAACCAACAAAGTCTTTTATGGGTTAGCAGCTGAACATGGGCAAAGGGGAAAAAAAGGCAAAGCACTAAAAATGATGGCAGGGCAGGAAGCAGCTTTGCGGGGGAAGAGAAAAAAGGGGTGAGGAAAAGTGAGAAGGGTAAAAAGCAGAACACTCTTAAAAGCCACCTCCCCACCCTTCCCCTGCCAGAGATATACCCCCTATGCCCTCTAGAATAAATATCTGGACTCAAGACTTCCTAAACAAAAATTTCATGAATCTCTTTTTTTATATACTTCAAATTGTCTTCAAATCCAATTGGAAATATTTCATTTTTCATTGACAAGTCCAGTATTTCCCAAGCACAACCCTTGGTCCTAGGGTAGTTTGACAATTAGGATGATACCTTCTTACTCCTTTTGCATCTGTATAATTGCATGATCTTATTCCTCACCCCTTATATTCCACCGATCAATTGCTATATGAGTTATATCCACTGTTAGGCAGATAGATAGTATAGAGGTATACATTTTTATGAACACAAGTTTCCTAGACAAATGTAATCTAACCTGTAAACGCAGACACAATCTCCTTGATCGTTCTATTCCTTCTGAGGTCCAAGGAGCAGGTTCAACATCATCTCTTCTTAAAAGATAACGCCAAACCAAGAATCCATGGCTGGATGAAATCTCTGGCCAGTATTTCACCACCTACATCATAATATTTCAGTACAAGATTGAGTTTAGGCTTATTTATAATTATATCAGTGGTTTAAGTAAACTTTCCAGAATTAAGTGCAACTTCATAAGATACTTGCTCTGCTGTAAGAATAGTAAGTAATCAAGATTATTCACTAAAATATTGTTTTGATCTTGTCTTCTATTAAGATAGTTCTAATGTAAGAAAACATTGCTATAAATTTAATATAGTAACAAAATTATGCTCATTCAGTGAATTTTGCATATTAAGTAGATAATAATGGTGGCAATTGATGCCTCTAATTTTAAACAAAGAATACAATCTTATTTTAATATTATAATGTGTTCTGCTTTGAAAATCTATTAATCATTAAAATTAAAAGCGTTCTGAAAAGATATGAGAATCAAGATTTATAATGGCCAAATTATTTAAAAGTTTATCATAGAAAATACATACTTATTTAAAAGATATTAACCCAAAATAACTGCACTTAGAAACTTCAAATAAGCTTTTTAATTTTTTTTGAAGTATCAGAGTTAAGAGTTTACTTTGTGTATCTGTTAAATTTCCAGAAAAAGTAGAAATACCAACACTATCCCCACTTTTTTCCTTAGCCCATCCATTGTAATTCCCTGTGGCAACCCTGTCTTGAAAACCCAGGAAGAATGACTAATAAGATGTCATGCCAGATAGAGCACCTTATAAATGCCATCATATCTGTTGCCTTCTTCAGGAGCATATTTGCTGATCTTCCTCCCTTTAAAACTGCGTATCACTCTGACTGGCTTACCAGCTCTCCAATTCCGAGACTCTGCTCCAATTTTATCATCCAATGGAGCATCACAGTTTAGGGCCAATGCCCTAAAAAATAAAACAAAGTCTTTATACCAAGTAATCTTTCTTCATGTATATAATCGAGTCATTAGCTCCATTAAAAGGTGAATTATGCCTTACCTGATGGTTAGGATTCTATGATTCTTTCCATATTATTCCAGATAATAAGATTTAGCTTTCCCCCACCAGCAGAGAAGACAAATCAGTTTTCTGATGTCACCCCCAAGCCAGGGGATTGGTTCTCAGATAGCCTGTAGGATTCTTCTGAAAGTAACAACATCTGTGCCATGTATAATAGAAAACAACTAAAAATACATGGAATTTTCTTTAAATAACGTTTGTTGAAGGAAGGGAGAATGTTGGAAAACTAAAGCAAGTGATTGTTTTAATCTTTTTTTGATAAGGGAGTATGGCAAATTGCTGGAATAATTAGAAAGAAATCCAGGAAAATTAATTTGCCAACAAAGTAAGGTACTTTCCACTTTCCAGACAAGAGAGTCCTGAAAGTTTAAGGGATATTAAGAACAAATATAATATGAGAATATTATTCAAGGGTCTTCACAGAAAGATAAATTTAAATAAGACTGAAGAATCAAAACACTTGTGCTATATCATGATATTAAGAATTTCTGACTATTTGAGATCACTACCAGTTACTAATGACACATAGACAGGGAGGAATACTGAGTTGGAATGAGCATCTGACTTAACCAAACTTTTTAGTGTGTGTACTCAAGTAGTAATTAAAAAAAAAAATCAATGAGGTAATCAGATGTTAGAAGACTTTTCTTGGGAGAACCCAGTCCTACCAAAAATAGCACAATTTGTTTAAAACCAGTATTCTCCTCTGAGATACCTACTTCCTAACTTAAGTGACAAGAAAACACTGAGAACACATAAGGCTTAGGAAAAAAACATATTCCCAATCTGATCAAATTGGATATTATACAAAATACTTTTTCAGGGCAAGGTTCTTTTATGTAGTCTCAAAAAGTTAAGACTATGACTAACCTGTTGAAAAGGAACCTCTTGATCACAGTTATATATTTAAAGTAAACAAGCTTAAAGTATTTTGTTTTTAAAAACAACTTTTATAGCTGTGGACAGATAGCTTGAAGTACTTTGTTTTTAAAAACAACTTTTATAGCGGTAGTCAAAATAAAGCTTACCAAATTATCTTTTTATCAAAAAAAGGGAGGTAGATACTTTAAAACTTTGGTAGGTAGCCAGGTTTGGTGGCACACACCTGTAATCCCAGCATCTTGGGAGGCTAAGATAGGAGGATCACGAGTTCAAAGTCAGCCTCAGCAAAAAGCAAGGTGCTAAGCAACTCAGTGAGATGCTGTCTCTAAATAAAATAAAAAACAACTTTGGGAGGTAGAAGAAAATACAGCCATTAACTCTAGGGCTAGTATTTATATCTTACTTATGGAATACCTATCAAGATATACATACTTGGGTTGGTTGCAGTGGCCCATGCCTGTAATCCCAGCAGCTTGGGAGACTGAGGCAGGAAGATTACAAGTTCAAAGCCAGATCCAGCAATTTAGTAAGGCCCTAAGCAACTTAGTGAGACTTTGTTTCAAAATAATGAAAACAGTGGGGGATGTGGCTCAGTGGATAAGTGCCCTTAGGTTCAATGCTTGATTGAAAAAAATTAAAAAAGCATATTTCATTTTCTTAAAGAGGTAGGGTAATTACCACCTCATTTCAATGAGTGACATACTTTAAAGCTCAAGGAATCTTCACTCATAATTACTGCCACCATTGACTGGAACTGCCAACTCAGTTCTGGCTTCAGGTAAGTGCAAAAGTCATTCAATAATGTAAGAAGTGTCTAAAGTATGAAACTAGGCAAAACAACAACAAAGCTCTTCCACTACTCTATCTGTAGCTCAACCAATCATTTGCTTCTAACTTCCCTGATAAACGATAGCCAGGTTGCCTTGCTACCTCTTTAGTTCCTTAAAGTGAAAGAGTTTGGAAGAACTAGGGATAAACTTTTCAGAAGCAAAAAAATGTTTAATTTCCTCTCAGCAGAGAAGCTGGTAAAGGAATTGTACCATATACTATTTGGGAAAGAGCAACCTATGGGTCAAACCTAAAGGCCTCTCATCCCAGTTTTCGTGTTCCTAAGACATAGGTCTCTTTACCCTAAATGTCTTTTTAGTCAGAAGGTGTAAAGTTTAATGTTTAAAGTAGCCAAGTGGATGTTAAAGTCTATACGGCAAGTCAACACTAAATTTTCTTCAGTTAATATTTCATTTTCATAACTTCCCTTTTAATAGCAAACATTTTAATGGGTCAACTATTTTCTTTTTTTAAAAAAAAATTTATTTTTCAGTTTTCGGCGGACACAACATCTTTGTTTGTATGTGGTGCTGAGGATCGAACCTGGGCCGCAAGCATGCCAGGCGAGTGCGCTACGGCTTTAGCCACATCCCCAGCCCTGGGTCAATTATTTTCTAAAGAGATTTTCACAGTGTTTAGATTTGTATGTATAAACGCTTGAAAGGGATCTACATTACAAGTGTGGGTACTGATCAAAGAAGTTTCATACAAGTAAAATAGTCTCATTATTAATGGGACAATATAATTTTCAGATCTGAGAACTTTAAAAAGATGTTTTGAATATCCAAGATATATTTTCATTGATAAAAATAGGTCAAAGTACTTTTAACTTTTTAAAAGATTATTCCTCCTGAAGAACTGGCTTCTTGGTGGAAAAGGTATATAGGTAGGGTTTGGACCCCTGTCTCAGGAATACTTTTTTTTTTTTTCCCACCAGCAAATCTGACCCGTCTTCTCTGCTGGTTCAGTAAAATAATCCTACTTTCAGAAATAATATACAAGACACGAAAACAGAGATTCTGTGTAACTCAGTATGCAGTAAAGTCTTGAAATCATACTGGTATATTCTCTACTTCACATGGTAATTAGAAATTAAGGGGATGCTTTTTAAACCAAGAGATTTAGATTCAGTGGAAATACTCTTACTAGATAATACACAAAATTTTAACTATATAAAACGATCACAAATACTTGGAGGGACATGTTATACTGTGATCTTTGTTATCTTTTGGTTTGGGTTACTTATCTGTTATTAACATTGATATTAGCATGCATTTACAAAAAAAATTATGAAATTAAATTTTATGTTCCCGTGGGAGCCAGAATGTCATTCATATTTCTACAGAATAAAGGTAAGCACAAGGTGGCTCTTTTTTTTTAAGAATTTATTTTTAATATTTATTTTTTAGTTTTCGGCAGGCACAACATCTTTGTTTTTGTATGTAGTGCCGAGGATCGAACCCGGGCTGCACGCATGCCAGGCTAGCATGCTACTGCTTGGAGCCACATCCCCAGCCCCAAGGTGGCTCTTTTGTAATGCCTGAAGGAGATTTATTTTGAAAAGATCATTGGTAACCAAACAAACATTCTCTTTTATAACACTCAAAAGGCAACTTATTAATATAAAAGCTTGAATGCAGATCTGATTTATCTTATATTTCATTTATGTACATGTGGCTCCTAATCACAATGGTATTTCACACTAGTGAGTCTCCTCTAAAAGGAAGTTTGTCAATTTAAAAGAAATCTAGGTTGAAGAGAACATCACTTTATTTATTATTATTATTATTATTATTATTATTTTGTGGTGTTGAGGATTGAACCCAGGGCTTTGTGCATGCAAGGCAAGCAGTCTACCAACTGAGTTATTTCCCCAGCCCACATCACTTTGTTTTTAATTTATGGCACAGTAAACAAGCTGCCTCATTTTCAATTTTACTTAAATTATATATCTTCCTTTTCTTTAAAAATAGACTTATTTTTTTTAAAGTACAACACATGTATTAAGCAAGACTGAGAATTATGCCTTTTGAAAATTAACAGTATTAAAAAATAAATTAGAAAAAAAATTTAGGATGCTTATAAGTATATAATAAGGCGATGGAATTTTAATTTCAATTCTTTAATTCCTAATTTATGATTCTGCCTTGCAGCATAAGTTACAAGTTATGATCCTACAATCAAATTTTCATTCAACATCCAAATTCTAAGCATCTTTACAACAGTACCTGTTCATGTTTGTTAATGTTTGATCAGCTGATGGTGCACCAATTCTTTTATTACCAGCAAGATTTTTACCACCACTTCCAGTATATGTGAATTCATCACCTCGGTCCTATAGGAGAAGATTTTTACATTAAGATATTAAATGCAAGTATAATTTCACAAATTCTCATTTTAGAGTCAGAACATTTAATAAGAATATTGTGAACAGACATGTACACAATATTGAACTCTATCAAAATAATGCAAAATTCAGATCAAGTGATATACCTTCAAGATATATCACTTGATCTAAATTAGTTTCACTTTCTAGTTCTAGCTTCCAACATCTCCAAACATGGCTATTCTCAAGCTATATATGTAGCCAAATAATCCTCAGAATGTTACAAGACAGGGTCTTATGAGTTAGAAATATTAGATTTAATTTAATTCATTGTTAATAAACATATCAATACTAGCTTGTAATCCTCCCATGCCCACACTCAATACAGGGTATTGAATTCAGGACCTCACACATGCTAGGCAAATGCTCTTCCACTGAGCTAGACTTCCAGCCCTTTTTATTTTATCTTGAGACAAGGTCTTGCTAAATTGCTTCGGCTGGCCTCAAATTTACAATCCTCCTGCCTCCGTTTTCTGAGTAGCTGGGATTAGAGATATGTGCCATCATATCTGGATTTTATTTTTGTGGTGCCGGGGATTGAACACAAGGCCTTGCCCCTGCTAGACAAATGCTCTATCACTGAGCTACACCCTCAGTCCTTATATTCTTTATAGGACAGTACCACTTTCACAAACAGTTCATAACTGAATTCATAGCTGTCATCTACACCATACCTAAATTTGGTGACAAACATTCAAATCCTAATGTTGACATTAAAAAATTTTTATGAGGCAAGTTTATCTTAAAATTTCATATTAGAATTCTAATAGCATAATTCATTCTCTACATTTCATATTCTTGAGTTCATCTATATATTTAGGTAAAATACTCATTCTACTATAAAAAATTTGGAAAATAATTTGAAAATTAAAGCAGTATTTAATACCTACTAAATGTAAAAGAAAAATGCTAAAAGAAAATGTTATATCAACAAACTACACAATTATTTCTATAAAGCTAAAAATTTAGATCGGTATTACTAAATCTTTAGGTGATTTGGTAACTCAAAATAAGTTGAGAAAAAATAATCATCAGTAGTTGAGAAAAGTAACTGAAGTAACCATCAATAAACAACTTCTTTTTTTGGGGGGGAGGGGTGCTAGGGATTGAACCCAGGGTTATTCTACCACTGGGCTACATCCCAGCCCCCCGACCCTGCCCCATTTTTGAAACAGGGTCTTGCTAAATTGCCAATGCTGGTCTTAAACTCATGATCCTCTTACCTCTGCCTCTCAAGGCACTGTCAGTGGGATTACAGGCATACTCCACCACACCCAGCAGCATATAACTAATTCTACCACACTAGCTAAACATTACTTTGTGGTTTTTTTTCTGATGTTTTTCTCATTTTCTGTACTAAATTTTTACTTGCTGAGGTCAACTATACACATCTTTTCATTTTTTTCCCTTTGGATTAAAAGCCTAACTAAAATCCTGTCCTTTAAAAGTGTCTTTACTGGCCTCAAAACCTTGAATTCACTTTTTGTTGGTCTAATATTGAGGTCTCTATTTAAAGAAAATAAGACATTGAGGAATTTCATCTTTAATGTATGTTACAATTAAAGGAATTCTAGTAAGTATATCTAGAACATTTCTTTTATTTAATTGCCTCAATTTTTAAAAAAATTAATTTTATTTATATTTTCAGTACTGGGGATGTAATTCAGGGGTGCTCTACCACCAAGATGTACCCCTAATCCTTTCATTTTTAGAGACAATTTTGGCTGCTGAATCTGGTCTTGAAGTTGCAATCCTCCTGCTTCAGCCTTCCAAATGGTGGGATTACAAAAACATTTCTCATTGTTCCTCAGGCAACAAATAACCAAATAATCAAGGATCAAAAAATAATAGTTAAAATTCTATAATATTAACTCATCTGTAATTCAATGATTATAACAAAAACTTCTATATTATCAGAGGAAGGAGAAGACTTGCCAGAGTTCAGTCAACATTCTTTCAGATTATTTTTCCTAAGGAAAAATTATCAGCCTAAATTTGTTGCATCTCCAAGTCCATCCTCCATTAACTTGTGTCCCTAGCAGGAGCCTAAATGAGGATACTGCCTAGGAAGAGCTCACAGAAATAAATAAATAAATAAATAAAATATCTGTCTCTTGACAAGGGACACGATGCTGCCCCCAGAGAAATGCAATTTCCCAGTCTCTATTCTTATAAGTTTTTGAAGTAGCTGCCCAAGACCAGTTGCATGTTCCCATTTCTATCATCAACCTTATCACATAGAAGAACTTTATCTTAATCTTCTCAACATCCCCCATAAATATTATCAGATAAACTATCATAAAGCACAATTAAGACCACAACACTTTTCCCAGATACTTTAAGGATTCTTTAATTCAAGTCTATATAGAACAGAACCTCATTTTTTTTTTGCCAGTTTTTCTTTCAATAATACCCTTTACATGCCTGCAAAACTGGGTACTACCACTACAATTGATAATGCCTACTTACCACTTACTGTGTATGTGGGGTTAATAAACATTTTACATATAATTAACCCAGGGTTAATTGAACCCAGGGTTATTCTACCACTGGGCTACATCCCAGCCTCCCGACCCTGCCCCATTTTTGAAACAGGGTCTTGCTAAATTGCCAATGCTGGTCTCAAACTCATGATCTTCCTGCCTCTGCCTCCCAAGGCACTGTCACTGGGATTACAGGCATACTCCACCACACCCAGCAGCATACAACTAATTCTACCAACACATTAAGCCTTCACATAATTCTACCTTCACATTAAGCCTATAAGCTAAGTGTGTAAACTTTATTTTACAGATCAGGGAAAGGTTCCATAACATGCTAAACCCATAGCAAGGAAGAAATGGCTCCAGGATGCAAACCCTAACAGTGTGGTTTCAAAGTCTTCTTCTAAGTAAACTGCTTCTCAAGACAACTGAGAAGAGGCCAATCACTTTTTAGGGTCCTTACTTTTCAAGAAAGATCACCCAAATACAGGACACAAAAACTAGCATTTGGCTAATTCTCAAGTTTCTAGACTAAATATTAACTAGTTTGTCAACAGGTACTTAAGAGTTTCATGTCCATTCACCCAAACAGAACAAAGATCACTGGCTACATGAATGTTACATCAAATTCAAGGTTACATCAAATTTCTCGAAAATAAAAAAAGCTTATTAAAAAAAAAGAAAGAAAAGCTTATTTAAGTTTCCCTCATCTATTCCTTGCCTATAATAGAGCAAAATGTTGAAAACACTTAACATTAACATCTGCAAATATACATCTTAGCTGGCAACTAAGTCTGTATATCACCTTAGTCCTAAAATAAATTATTCTTTATATTATTTAACACAGTTAGAATTAACTATTTAACACAAGTAAATATTTAACCTTTAATTTCTCTACAAATGTGTTAAGTGTTCAACTAGCAATTATATTAGAAAAATGGAAAAAAAGAAATAGTAACACCTATTCTTCCACTTAAACTTGGTACTCATATTTAGCTTTATATGTTGAATTTGTTTCATATATTTAAGATATGTTTCTGCTACAGAGAATATAATTACCATCTGAGTCCTCGTTATGTTTCCAGGACTACATAATTTAATATAACCCTCTTCCTGATATAAAATAATGTTACTATTTTTTCTATTTTACATATGGGGAAGTTATTGAAGTTAAGTAATTTGCCCAAAGTTTCATACACAACAAATGTCAGATCAAGTACAACTTCCCAGATGGTAAAAATAAATGCGAAAGAGATTCCACTTCTAGTTGGTTCTGTTACACAGTTCAAAAAGTTCTAGTCAATGTTAATGTTAATTTTTTTTTGAAACTACATGACAGCAGTGTTTCTGATAAAGATATATTTTTATATAGCATTGGCACTATTTCTGATAAAGATATAGCTTCAGAACATGTATATTAAAGAAGTTTGCAAATGACTAACCTGAATATCTCCATTTTCTGCTTCTTCATCTATGATAATATAAATACACTGCTAAATTGGCCTATTAGAAAATTGGCAAACTTTTCTATTTTTGTTTAAAAGCATACCACAAATGTGTTCTCTATGCTACTTTAATTCATCATAATATCCCATGAAAGAAAGTAAATAAAACAGAGTGGAAGAAAAAATACATGGTGAACATCAAAAAAACAAATAACCTAATTTAAAAATGGGTTAAAAAATTGTGGTATATATGTGTATTAAGAATTGTAATAAAAAAGTACATGTATAAAGGCATAAATTGGCATGAACATACTTTATATATAGAGATATGAAAAAGTGTGCCCTATATGTGTAATAAGAATTGTAATGCTTTCCACTGCTGTAATGTAGTTTCAAAAAAAAAATTAAAATTAAAAAAATAAAGATGAAATCATTCAACTACATACACAAAAAATTTAGTGTCTTTGGCATACAGATATTTTCCTTAAAACTTTTAATAGAATATATAAATACATTATGGCAGTCATTTTATAATAAAATAAATTTTTAAAAGAAAAAATAATTTAGCTTCTAAAAAAAAATGGGTTAAAAAAAAAAGCCTGAAGGACTATGCTACCAAAGAGGCTATAGAGATGACAAATAAGCCAATGAATGATGTCGATATCATTAGCCATTAGGGAAATGCAAATTAAAATAAGAAGAACTGCTGGGCAAAGTGACATGCAGCTGTAAACCCAGCTGCTTTGGAGGCTAAGGCAGGAGGAGAGCTCAAGCTCAAGACCTGCCTGGGCAATAGTGAGATCCTGTTTCAACATTTAAAAAAAGCAGGGTGGGAAGGGGAGGCAGTGCAGGCAGTGGCTAGGATATAGCTTAGTAATAGAATGCTTCTGGGCTGGGGATGTGGCTCAAGTGGTAGCGCACTTGCTTGGCATGCGTGCGGCCCGGGTTCAATCCTCAGCACCACATACCAACAAAAAGATGTTGTGTCCGCCGAGAACTAAAAAATAAATATTAAAAATTCTCTCTCTCTCTCTCTCTCTTTAAAAAAAAAAAAAGAATGCTTCTGAGTTCAATCCCCCTAAAATCCTAAAAATGAGATAAATTATAAATTATTATTATGGCTACAATAAAAAGTAGCAACAGCAGTAAACGCTGGTGCAATGCAGAGAAATTTAATCACTCATATCTTGCTGATGGGAATGTAAAATGGTATATACAGTTAACTCTGGAAAAGTTTGGCGATCTTTCTTTTCCCCATAGCTTTATTGAGATAAAATTGAAATAAAGTTTGGCAATCTTTTGAAAAAAACTAAACAGAAATTTATAAAAATTTCTGAAGTGACAAAATTATATAAATGAAGAGCACATTAATGATTATCAGGGGTTAGGGAGGGCTTGAAGACCTAGTACAATGAGTATAACTATCAAAGGGCAACAAGACAATGGAAATTGTGACAAAAATGTTCAGTAGCATTATTGTGTCAACATTAATATCCTGGTTGTGATATTGTGCTACATGGTTTTATAAAATGTCACTAATGGAGGAAACTGGATGGAGGGAACAGGATGTATGCATTATTTCTAATGCTACAATTAATCACAATTGATCTACAATTATCTCAAAGTAGTAAGTTTAATTTTTAAAAATAGTTCCATTGAGGGCTGTGGCTCAGTGGTAGAGCGCTTGCCTAGCATGTGTGAGGCACTGGGTTTGATTCTCAGCACCATATATAAATAAATAAAATAAAGGTCCATCAACAATTAAAAAAATTTAAAAATATTTAAAAAAAAAACAGTTCCATTGAGAATGCAGTCTCCTCAGGATATTCAGTTACAAATATACATATGTGTATGTCAAATCAGTATAGACACTGCCAACTGATTTCCCTTATAACTGTATAAAACTGATTGCTTCAATATAAAAAACAATGCTAAAAAGGGATAGTATTTGTTGTAGCCTTTTATAATTTGCTGAATGATTAGGACAGATTCTAAAGAACAAAGTCATATGATGACTTACAACTTCATCCGCAAATCCACCAGCCAGGACAAGAGAATAAGCCCCATCATTACTGCGACCATGAATTCCACCAACATGGGGCCTATGAACACCTGCTTCGCTCACCTATAAAATAAGTAAAATGAGACCACATTACCTCTGAACAGTTGAGTTACATTTAGAAAATTATTTCTCATTTATTATTGTACCTTAAAAATCTAAGAGCCATATCTCACCCAGAGTTGGGTCTTTTGCTTTCTCATTTAGTTCTCCTAAAACCCCTAAAAGCACTGAGCTAATACGCCTAAAATGAGTAGGTCTAGAATTCTGAGTTTCATATTATTAAATAATTATCTTCTTTTATAATTGGGATTTTAGCTTAACAGCTAAAAAGGAACTATTAGTTATTGAAACATCTTTTCCCTTCTTTCTCATCTTTGATTATGACTGTTCCCTATCCAGTTTGTCAAATCATTCTAAACTTTATACTTCTTCCACATTCCCCCAAACCATTTGGTCACAAGGATCCTGATTTTCCCTTCTAAATCCCTTGAATCCATCTTTTTTCTACTTCAGGTGTGCAACATCAGTTTGAAACATGAATGTTTATAATAGACCATCTTTCATTGCCTCCAGTTTTAGTTACTCAAACCCACTGTATCTATCATAAACAGAATGGATTCTTTTAAGAATTGAGTCTCATTTTCAACTTCTTCAAAATATATTCAATGGTCTCATAGTATTCAACCCAAGTTAAGCATGTCAATACACCTCTCTTAATCTGGCTTCTATTTTCTCAGCTGTATCTACTGTATCTCCTTCATGGAAACTATATGTTTACACCAAAATATTTTAATGTTATTCAACTTATTCCAGATTAGTTATACTGTTCTATTTCAGTAGCCTACAGCTTTTTCTCATATATATTGAATTCTGCCTCTCTGAAAAAAAGTGTTACTTCTTCATGTATTTCAGATTCCCTTAGAAAGGTATTATAATTCATCCCTTTGTCATAAGATTGCTCTTAGCAGAGTTAAAGGAATCTGAAATTCAAGCTTGCATAGTAAGCATGAGAAAAGATGGCACTTTAGAAGCTAATAAGAGCAACAGAACCTGGAAAGGCTTAGGTCTTAAAAACACCCACCACTTCAGCAGGAGACCAGGCTATTTGCTTTCCCCACCTCACTAACATTGGTAAAAATAAATCTGTTCTCTTTTTCTCTAAATAGCAAATCCATCTAATTAGTTGTTGAGGCCAACAACTTCGTAATCACCTTAGACCATGTTAAAGGGGCTTTTAAAGTTTGGGAATGAATTAGTGACAGATATATACACACACAAACATAATGAAGTAAATAAAAATATTTACAGTATTTTATATTACATTTATTTATAGAATTTACTTAGAGCCATAAAAATATAAATCCTGATTACCAATTCAGCCAAAATTATGATACAGCTATTCCACAACAAACATAAGTACTAAACTAAATGTTCATCTTTCAACTAAAGTATGAAGGAAAGAAAACCATATAAATATGTTATTTAGAAATAATGAGGTAAATCCAGGGGAAATAATTAGAATTTTCTCTTTGAGAAACAGAAAATGGGAATGAAAAGTAGGGGAGGTTTTAAAAAATACAAATCAATTTAATTTTTCAATCTGTTCCATGTATAATGTTATTTTAATTTTAAAACTGTATTAAAAGTCTAAGTATCAGGGCCACTGAACATAAAAATTAAAACTTATCTTAATTAAAGTCATGAATCATAGATATTGCTAATTGGAAATTGCTTTAGAGATTTTTTTTCCACATTAAATGTCCCATGATAGAATTAATATTCTGAAAAGGAAATCAGGAATAAATATAACACAGTCTTCCTCAAGAGGAAAAGAGAAATAATTTTATTCCTGGATTAGCTAGCATTTCCTTCTGCCCAATATCTCAGCATTCATTCAGGAGGATAAGCCTCAAAAAAATACCCAAAGCAAGCTTAGAGTTCAATGACAATAAATGAGAATTTAATATGTGGCTTAAAGAAAAACTTACATTTTATTTTTTAAATAACTTTATTTTATTTATTAATTTTTTTTAAGTTGTCAATGGAACTTTGCTTAATGAATTTATATATATATGGTGCTGAGAATTGAACTCAATGCCTCACCTACGCTAGGCGAGCGCTTTACCACTGAGCCACAACCCCCAACTCCTATTTATTTATTTTTAAGTGGTGCTGAGGATTAAACCCAGTGCCTCACATGTGCTAGGTAAGCGCTCTATCACTGAGCCACAACTCCAACCCATATATTTTAAATATTAATTTTTTGTAAGAAAAATTCTTTAGAAAGCTTACCAATAATGTTAACACTGTAACTATAATAGAAGAGTAAAACAATGTGATAAGAAAGCATAGCTCATCACTAAGTCTGTGATATATGTTCCTGTGTGTCATCTGCTAAGGAAGAGCACACCCCAAAGAAAATCTTTCATTCTAACAAATGAACACCATGTGCTACCAGCAAAGTCCATTTACAATCAATATATTGTTAAAACATTACTTCTCTTTTAACTATACCCAATTTTACCATTTCAACTAACCAATTAAAAAACATACCTGAACTCTAAATCTCCAAGTTGATCCAACAGGAATACCAGGAATAGGTCCATAATGATTAGAGGGGACAATAGTACATTCTTTTGTACGACCAACACAAGCCATTCCCTGTAAAGTCACAAAATTAGCTGTTTGAGAAATCAATTATGTTAAATCTTAATGAAAGACAAGATGTGAATAAAACAGAAAATCAACCATTTATGTAATTTAAATATTGCTGATATTAACAATTATATTATTTAACCTTTTATACCATTACTACTACTGGTATTGAAACATTCATTACATACTATAATTTGCTATTAGGAAAAAAAGGAATTCTTCTTTACCCTGCCCCAGTCTCTCCGGCTTTCAGTACTAGCAGATGGCATCTTTGCTTTCTTTTTACTCATCTTGAGTCTTTCACCAGCCTTTACAACCTCACTGGAATCAGTTTTACAGCAAGGACAATACCTTTAAAAGAAAAAAAAAGAACAAAGGAATTTTGATAATATCATATTAAGGCCAGTAACAGAATAATGGCCTTTCTAGGTTAGGATAAGTTTTAATATGTATTGGTTGGGGTACACTGAAGAGCTTCAGCTGCCATTAAACTTCTCAAAATATTTCCATGATTGGGCTGCTGTAAAAAAAGTATTCCTGTCATTCTTTTAGAGAACTTAAATATTTTAATGTTAAAAATCCTCAATTTCAGTTCAAAAGTCAAAGAAAATGATGAGATTTCAATGAAACCATGAACTCTAATCTCATCATTAATCCCAAGAAAAGAAATTATTCATTCAAAATTCTTATAATTAAAACAAAAATAAAAAGAATTGATGCTTCTGGATCAAACACTGACCTATACAACAGATATATCTCCCCTCAGGGAAGAGATGGTAGTATGGAATGGGATGGGGGTGGGGTGGATGTGGTGCAAAAAAAAAAATAGAGAAAGAGAAAGATTCTGGAGAAAAAGATTTACTAATATCTTACATGTAGAGTAGGGAAGAGGAAAAATAATCATCAAAGATGAGGTTTAGCTTTTGGTACGAATAAGTGGATAAGATGATAGTACTACTTACCAAAGACTGGGGGAGGGTTAGGATTTTTGGTGAAGTGTTTGTAAAAATCAAATCTCCATTTAGACTAATTTTGTGATGGTGGTCAAGTAGACAAATGGGCCCAGAAATATAAACTCAGGGGAGATTGGATTTCAAGACAAAAATTCAGAACTATTAGCTTGGTGTTTAAAGTTTTATGACTGAATGAGGTCATCTAGGAAGCAAGATGAAATAAGTGAGCAGTACTTTAGGTGAACTCCTGAAAGCTGGCAGGTAAGGGGAAAAGAAGAGACTAAAAAGGAAAGGTCAGTGAAGTAGATGAAAAATCAGGATCATATAACATCATAGAATCTATAAAAACAGAGTAACCAGTTGAGCAGTAAAGAGGACTGAGATGTGATCTCTGGGTTTGTAAACAGAAAATATATATAAATTCTACATAAGCATTCATAGGCGTAGTGGGAAGGAAAGCCAGACTGGAGTGCTGTGAAGTGTGAAATGGGAAGAAAGAAAATGAAAACAATTAGTAAGGATAGCTTTTCTATAAAGGGAGTAGGGAAGAGGGGAGACAGATGGAAATCCAGAGAAAAATGGAATCAAGAGAGGTTTTTGTTGAAGGCTCAGGAGCTAATGATGATGATCTAGTAACAGCAATTCAGTAGAGGAATTAATTGCAGGAATGAAGTTCCTGGAAAGCAAAAAGATATGTAGCTCTGAGGCCAGGTAGAAGGGTTTCCATTTTAGAGAATCAGGAACAAACTATACACTGAACAAGAGGAAAGAAAAATATGAGACTTTGGAAATAAGAGTTAGAAGCAAAGGTAAAATTTAGAGTATGACCATGCAAGCTAGAAGGTGACAGGAAGTTATATTCCTTTTCCCTTTCTCTCACCCCTCCAACCTCTGTCATAACACATAACACATAGCACAGCAACAGCCTTTTCAAACAGGCTAAGGAAAGAGCAAGGAATGGAGAACAATCTGTTCTTCATGTTGATACCAGTTATATGCTTGTGACATCAGTATTTCTACCTGTCATATCCTTTACTTAAAAACCCTCAATGACAGTAATATGGCACATAGTTTTTTTAAAAAAAGAAACAAAATTCCTCAGTATGGTATTAAAAAGTTCATTATTACTTTGGGCACATTTTCCCCAGTCTTTCTTCTAATCACTTTTTAAAATTGTATTTTAAAATTTCTTTTTAGTGGTGCTATATTTTTAATGCACAAAACATAATTGATCAATCTCACTCCCTAGTACCTTCCTTTTCACTCCCCATCTCCTTGTTTTATTCTACTGATCCCCCTTCTATTATTCTAATTACACATATGGCAAGACTCATTGTGGTATATTTATATATGGACATAGTATAATTTGGTAGTTTTTGTTCCCCAATACTTCTCCTTGTCTTCTTCTCTTTCCCTCTCAATCCCCTTTTTCTCCTCTATTGGTCTCCCTTCTATTTTCATACTTTTAAAAAATTCTTCTTTTATCCCTCTTTACAGTTTGCATATGAGAGAAAACATTTGACCTCCGAGTCTGGTTTATTTCACTCAGCATGATATTTTCCAGTTCTATCCATTTACAAGTATATGAAATAATTTTATTTTTCTTTATGGCCAAGTGAAACTTCATTGTATATATATATATATATATATATAACAATTTATTTATCCATTCATCTGTTGATGAGCACCTAGGTTAGTTTCATAATTCAGTTTCACAATTCATTGACTATTGTGAATTGTGCTGCTATATACATTGTTATAAATGTTATCATTTATAACTGCAGTATGCTGATTTTAGTTGGTTTTTGTTTTTATTTTATTTTGGATAAATACCAAGCAGTGGCATATCTAGGAAATATGGTGGTTCCCTTCCTAGTCTTTTGTGTAATCTTCATATTGCTTTCTAAAGAGGTACTAACTTTCAGTCTCACCAACAATGTATAAGTGTACTTTCCCCCCACATCCTCAACAGCAATTGTTATTTGTATTCTTGCCATTTTCAATGGTGATGAAGTCTCAGTGTAGTTTTGATTCACATTTCCCTGACTGCTAAGGATGTTGAACAATTTTTGACATTTCTTGGCCATTTGTATTTCTTCTTTTGAGAAATATCTGTTTTGATCATTAGCCCATTTATTGATTGGTTGTTTGTTTTTATTTGTCAAACCATTTAGATTCTGGCAAGCACACATGAAGCCCTGTTCTACTTACCAACTTCATAGGATTAGATAAAATCATCCATATATAGCATTTTTTTAGTGTAAAGCATATGAAATATATAATAATTATTAAGTATTATACTTTTGGTAGTTCAAATAGATATTTCATATTTGATTCTCTATAAAGCAAAAAACAAATCCTGATGATCATACCAGTATTCTTCTTCTGGGACTTTATCCAAAGGAGGAGTCAGGCAGTAAATATGATAGGCCATATTACATTCGTCACATAGAAGCTGCATGTTGGGTTCATGCTTCTCACCACATTTATGACAAGAGCATGTACGGCATTTCTTATCTGGGTCTCCACCACATAGGTCACATTCAGGGTCATTTTTCCCTTAAGAAAAAAAATTAAAGTAAGTCTTACCTTACAGTAATTTGTTCATCTATTAATCTCAAAGAAAAACTCATGGAAACAGTATACAACTTTTTTTTGGGGGGGGGTACTGGGGATTGAATCCAGAGGTGCTTAATCACTGAGGCATGTCCCCAGGCCTTATTTATTTATTTTGAGATAGGGTCTTGCTAAGTTGCTTCGGGTCTTGTTAAATTGCTGAGGCTGGCCTTGAACTTATAATATTTCTGCTTCAGCTTCCCAAGCTGCTGGGATTACAAGTGTGTGCCAATGCACCCAGCTAGCATATACTTTTTTTTTAAATCAAAGGAACCAAAAGGGATAATCAAATGTGAGAATTTAGAAATAAAAGCCTGAATCTCACCCTTGATTTACTGCATTAAAATTTTAAGGATGAGGCTCAAACATAATTCAGTAAAAATCCAATCACCTCCAAACATGATGATAATATTTACTTTTTATTTTTGCATATTCTTTTTCAGGGCTGGGGATTAAATCCAGGACATTGCAAATGTGACGCAAGTGCTTTACTACTGAACTACATCCTCGCATCATATACTTTTGCCTTAAAATTTTTCTTATAGCAGGGCATAAAGGCACATACATGTAATCTCAGTGATCTGAGAGGTTGAGTCGAGGACTGCAAGTTCAAGACCAGCCTTAGCAACTTAGTGAGACCCTATTTTGAAATGAAAAAAAAAAAAGTGCTGGAGATGTAGTTCAGTGGTATAGTGCTTGTTTAGCATACGTGAGGCCTTGGATTCAATATTCAGTACTACAAAAAATAAAAATAAAACCACCCCTCAAATTATATATACACTGACCCAGTTTCCCACAGATGCACCAGACCAACTAATGAACTCACAGGGCACAAGAGGGAAATATAATTCGTTAAACAAAGTAATTTAATAAATGGAACTGTTCAGTATTTCTTTTGGCCTATAGATGCAAAAAAAAAAATTACTGAGACATTGATTGCTCAGTGAACCAAGAAATCTTGAGAAACTCTGGGCAAAACCTTAGGTAAATACTTAATTGAATCCAAAGAGAGACAAGTTGATATGTGGGGTCTTTAATCCTCTTACAAAAAATTTTAAAATGTTCAGTATTGATAGTGTTATGAAGAAACTTGTATACCATTGGTGAGAAATGCATTTGAAAAATCATTTGATAATACTAAGAAAAACTTAAATTTTTTTCCATTGGAAGTTATTTCTTCTTTGTCATCCTAAAAGTAAATTTGTGTGGTCTACAGTTTTATATTTCCTCCAAGTTATCCACTTGTCAGTAAAAACAAATTTCCATAATATATAACACAATCTAAGTTCAAAAGAAAAATGCATACTTAAAAACTTTCCATCTGCAAATGAAATAGGATGCGCTCCGGGCTTCTCGATCTTGAAGATTTCATCTACAAATATTACTCTGCAGTCATTTAAAGTCCCTTCAGAACCTCTGTTTAAAAAAGGAAGAAAGATTAACTTGTACCAACAAAACCTAAACCATGTGCAAATAAAATTAGAAAAGAGTTTAGAAATTCACTGAATTTTACTCATGTACATATTGAGATTATACTATTCTAATTATTATGTACTATGGTTTCCAATTGTAGAAAGAGTCCAACAGTGATTATTTAATATTCATAGTTATAACTTTAGTGTAGAATCAGGAAAAAAAGGGCAGACTTCATTACTTAGGTTACTTGGAAAAAAGTAGCTATCTATAAATTTAGCTCAAAGAAAAGATTATTCTGTCAATTAAAATGAAAGATTTCAACATGTTTCTAATAAGAATAGTAAATTTCTAGGCAAAAATAAGATGACCTCGCCTCAAAAACAAAATCTTAAAATACAAAGCCATATTTTTCTGTCTCAGTTTATGTCTATTTGCATATGCTTCTTCAAGCTTCCTCCTACTACTGTGAATTTGTGCATTTCTCCTTTTTATAAGTCGGCTTTTGCTTTGTATTTCTGAAGACATATTATTAGATGCATACAGATTTAAGAATCCTAAATCACCTTATGAAATATGTCTCCTTCTCTAGAATCACATCATACTATGTTTTTCTTCCCCCCCCTTTTTTTTTGTTAGCATTTCCTTGGAGACTTTTCCCCCTCTTTTCACCTTCTTTAAAAAACTTTTAATATCAAAAACACACAAATGCAGAAAGCTACATAGACAAATAAAGAGTTAAACCAATTGTAAGGTGCATATCCTTTGTAAGCAGCCATCAGAGAAGTTAGAACTGTTAAGTACCTCTGAAACCCTAACAGGCCCCAACCAATGACATCTTCATATCATCCCATGAGTTATTTACTTTAATTTTCTTCATTCTTGTCACCTATCTCCCTAAGCCTATGTTTAGTTTTGCCTGGGTTTTACAAGTGTTAATATATAAATCCCAACACCATCACTCTCTTCCTTGCGTCAAATAATTTCTTAGACTTGATTTTGAAACTTACATTCCAGAAGCATAGCTGAAACAACTTTTATGGATCATCTGTATGTCCATATATTAGGAGTTGGATCTGGAGAAGAGATCAGAAAATCTTGGCCCACTGTGTTTTTGTAAATAAAATTTTATTGGAACCTAGCTATACCAACTTGATTATGCACCATCTATGGTTATTTCATGCTACAATGGCAGAGTTGAATAGTTTTGACAGAGAGCATTTAAGCATAAAAGTTAAGCTATTTACTGTTGTGCCCTATACAAAAAAATGAAAATGTCAACCCTTACACTAAAGTCTTCATCAGATTTAGGTTCATTTTTTGGTAAACTACGTTATAAGTCTCTTTCCAACTGGAAGTGGTAATTTTTCCCTCCATCATGACAAATACACACTGATGCTCAAGGCCTGGATTAATTCACTGGAGACTGGAAAATGTTGATATTTTAATTCTATTATTTCCTTTCTTATTTATTTGATGAATAATTTGAGAAATTTTAAAAAGAAACATTTTTTCAATATTTGGTGATCCACTGGTATAGCTCATATAGTATAGAGTTAAATGCTTATTTGGCATTTTTAAATAAATTACTTTTTTCTTTATATTAGTTTAACATAGCAAAATGTATAAAATGCATATGCTTAAAATAAATATTTAGAGTCTTTTTAAAAATTTGTTCTTTTTAGATTACATGATAATAGAATGTACTTTGACATATTATACATACACAGAGCATAACTTATTCTAATTAGAATCCCATTCTTGAGGTTATACATGACGTGGCATCTCACTAGTCATGTATTTATATATGAATATAGAAAAGTTCTGATTTATTCTAGCTTTCCATTCCCATCCTCCCTCCCTTTCCTTCATTTCCCTTTCAAGATCTATTTTCCCCATCCCCCTTATTGTGCATCAGCATCCACATATCAGAGACACCATTATATCTTTGGTTTTTTGAAGTTGGCTTATTTCACTTAGCTTGATAATCTCAGTTCCATCCATTTACAGGCAAATGCCATAACTTCATTCTTCTTTATGGCTGAATAGTATTCCATTGTGTATACTATTCTAGTAGGCTCAGGATCTCTGGTCGAATATCTAGGTCCTTGATCCACTTAAAACTGACTTGTGTGCAGGGCAAGAGATAGGGATTAAATTTCATTCTACTGCATATAAATTTCCGGTTTTCTCAGTATCATTTGTTGAAGAGGCTATCTTTTCTCCAATGTGTGCCTTTGTCCAAGATGAACTGGATTTATGTGGATTTGTCTCTGTGTCTTCTATTCTGTTCCACTGGTCTTCATGTCTCTTTTGGTGCCAATACCATGCCATTTTTGTTACAATAACCCTGTAGTGTAATTTCAGATCTGGTATTGTGACGACCCCTGCTTTGCTTAAGGATTGCTTTGGCTATTTTAGTATTTGGCAGTTTTTTAAAAACCAGTTCTCTAACAAGTTTTTGTACTGCTATAAACCCATGGCTTTAAAAATATTTGATGTGATTCAAACTACCATAATTATATTTTTCTTATTAATATTAAATTATTTCAACACTGGCCTACAGGAGCTTCCAGATGACTCCTACTCTATTGACAAGAACTTAGCAGCATTTGTAGATTTTATTGTTATTTGTATGACAAGATGTTCTAGGTTCACCTTGAACATTTTCTGTCTTCAATCTGGAGTCCCCATCTCCAAGATACCCTGGATTTTTTAAGTGCAAAATATATTTCAAGATCATAATCTGGCATTAGGAAAGCTTATTATGTCTCCATTATTACTGTTCATAGGTTTTTTCAGCATATGAAAGTATAAAATTTAAACAAACAGTACTACACACATTCAAACAAAATATGAGTTCATATTAACACTTTCTGTTCAAATTCAGCACTAAAGTGTTTTTGCATACATATATTCACACACACACATACACACACAACACTTTTTTTGAGGTATTCAGGAATATGTTTTTTTCTTCAATTAGAAAATCCTGGTTCTCAAGGACTTCAGGATGTCTAAATTAAAACAGCATATACCTTTTGCTTTATTTCACATGCAAGACATTCTTGCTGTTTGTCAATATAAAGTTTGAGCTTTTTGTACATTTTCCCATTTCTTACATTTGAAATATAGGTGGTTCTTTTCTTTTCCTGGTGGTGATATTGAGATCAAACCCAGGCCCTTGAGCATTCTAAGCAAGTGCTCTACTACTTAGCTGCACTCCAAACCCCCTATCCCTAGTTCTAAATATAGAAATATTTTAGCAAAGTGAAGCAGCGCAGGCCTGTAGTCCTAGAGACTCAGTAGGTCAGCCAGGAGGATCACAAGTTCAAGGCTGCCCTCAGCAACTTAGTAAGACCCTGTCACAAAATAAAAAAGGGCTGGGGAATTAGCTCAGTGATAAAGCACTCTTGGATTCAATCCCCAGCATGTATATATAAAAATAAATAAATAAATAAATAAATGTTTATCATAATTCTTTATGTCAAATTCTCTTTAGTTATCTTGGTTGTCTAAAGCTAGTTCCCTAGAAGATTTCTCAGGTAGAGTTGATAAAAACAATATCCCCCTAGTTCCTACAAGTTAGATTTGTCTGCAGTCATATACTATAAGACTAATTTGGCTACAGTTAAAATCTTTGCCTCTCTTTTTAATTTTTTTAAAATATTTTTTAATTGTAGATGGATACAATACCTTTATTTTATTTATTTATATGTGGGGCTGAGGATTGAACTCAGTGTCTCACTGGGCAATACCTCCACTACTGAGCTACAACCCCAACCTCTTGGCTCTCCTTTTCTTGACTCATGCCTGTCTTTCTGGGAAGCTTCATTGTCAGCAAGGATTTTATCCTGTTCCTAAAATTTTCTATTTCTCTTGTAACTTTGTATGGAATTTGATATACTTTCTTTTTTGTTTTTATAAAATAAACCTTCTGAAACTTTAGAGGCTGTGATTTCATCTAGCTTTTTATTAGTTCACAGCAATATAACTCGCTTTTTTGGGGGAGAAGAATTCAAAACTGACAACTAAAATCTAACCTAATAGAAATTAAAACATTGGGCAACCCCTGTTGGGTTCCCTCTATCCCTGTGAGAGTTCTGTCTCTTTTCTTCTCACTTGAATAAATCCTACTCTTTTATGCTAAATAAATAAATACACCCCTGAGGGTGGTGGCAGTGGCTGTAATAGGGCATATGAGAAACTTCTGGGGTGATGAAAATATTCTTGATTACAATGGTAGCATGGGATATTAATTTCTCAATGTTCACTCAACTATATATACACTTAAAATAAGTATTTACAATCATGCCACAGTATCTGCAAAGGACTAATCCCAATGCCCTCCATACCAAAATCTGCAGATATTCAAATCCCTCATATAAAATTAAAATGTTACATTTTTATTTGCATATCACACACATCCTCCTGTATATGTCTTTTGTAATACTTAATACTATGAAAATGCTAAGTAAATAGTCACTGCACTGTATTAATTGGGAATAATGATTTAAAAATTTTCATGTTCAATACAGATAAACTTTAAAATAAGTAAGTGTGTGTATATTTTGGATCTATGGTTGGCAAAAACCATGGGTGTAGAACTCCTGGATAAAGAAAGTCAACGATATATTGGATATAAACTATACTCAAAAGTGACTTAAAAAAAAAAAAAAGACACTATGCTCCAGAGGTTGAGGTGGGAGGATGGCATGTGTGAAGACAGCCTCAGCTAGCACCTTATAAAGACCTTGTCTCATAATAAAAATCAAAAGGCGGGCAGAATCTGGGCATGTGATAAGAGTGTCTCTATGTTTAAACCCTTATTTTCTGCAGTCTCCTCTCCTGGCTCTACTCTCCTCCTGTTCTAACTGGACCCTTTTTTCCTTTGTCTCAATTTTTCTTGATCTATTCAATTTGGATTCTACACTCGTTTCTTTTCAATATGAGTCTCTATCCTGGAATAGAGCTCTAGTTCATTTCATATTTAAAGAGTTTAT